GGGGGGGGGGGGGGGGAGTGCGTGTGTGTGTGTGTGTGTGTGTGTGGAGTGCATGCGTGTATGTGCGTGTCCTACCTCCTCTTTGTCTTAACCAAGTTACAAATGCGCTCTGGCACCTGTGTGTGCCCCTGCCCAGCTCACAGGTGGGCAACGGCAGGCAGAGAGGGCGCTTTACTGAAACCTCCTATTTGCGAAATGCATCAAAGTTACCACTGTACAAATTAGGCAAAAAGAAAAAAAGTGTAAGTGAAAACCACGCACTTGAAAACAAGTTAACCGTAAGCGTTGTTAGTGAGACGGTGCTGCAGCAAGTGAACACCCCAGGCCACAGGCCAGGGATCCCAAGGCATCCGGTCGTCCGAGGTGGCCCAGCCTCTCCCAAGGGGGCGCGCGTCCGCACGCGTCACTGCTGCTTGCACTCCGCAGGCTGGCCGCTTTCTCTCTGTCAAGACAAAGTGAGACCCTGAGCCCGCCGCCTCGCAGTCACCCCACCGGCACCCAGCAAGCCACGCTGCCCCGTGAGCATCAAGCCTCCAGAGTGACTCGAGGAGCACCAACAGCGTGAGTGCAGGGTGCGCTTTGAAAGACGTGCTTTAATAAAAGTGAGTCCACACTTCCTGGGTGGATGCCAACAATTCACAATGCCTGGCGCTCTTTCTCATTTTCACGGAGAAAGCTTAAGCCAGCAAAAAAGCCCAGGGGCTGATGTGAGATTTAAAATGTGCCATTACACACTGATAAAAAGGTAGAAAGCTGAGCTGTGAATTGGTGCTTTAGAAGGGAAAAAAGGCGCCCCGCACTTCTGTGCTGACAAGCAAACACTCACAAGACACTGACTGACTGCTGGGCCCAAGGACACAATCCCCCCAGGAGACCTCCGCCGACAGAGGGGAAGTCTGCCTTTCCTATGCTCCAGTCCAGAACTTCGAGGGCCTTTCCTACCACTGGACTAGGACAGGGCAAGGCCTGGATCACGTTCCCTGGGAGCCAAACTAGAGCTTGTAAGACAATCCCAGGCAGCTCCAAGGGGGCTGCTACGGGACCCAGCTGTGTTTTCACAAACATTGTTCCATTTCAATGACTTCTCTCCCTAAGGGGCATGGTGCTAATCAGAACCTCTGGCAGCCACGGAGCTGGTCTGAGAACCTGGGTGACAGTGGGGCCTGGAGAGCAGGGAGGAAACTCAGACTGTCGTCACACGTGGAATGAGGGCGGGGATGGGGATGGGGGGGGGGCCAGTCACCATTCTAAGCATTTTTTTTTTAAACACTCAAGGGCTCCAAGCGTGAGCGACGAACGAGGCTTATGTCCTACTACTTTGGGTACAGCATCAAAGCTTTTCCTCTGTACGTACATTCGGGGTCTGCACTGACTCTGGGGATACCTTGCAAGGTATCCAGAATTCTCGGAGAAGGGAGACACTGAGGTGGCTGCAGGGGAGGGCAAGCCCAGTGGTCAGGGAGAGCACTACAAGGTGTGGCTAGAGACAATTCCAGCACTAGGAAATGCCTCAGCCCACGTGGGAATAGGGTGGCTTGCCTGAAGGTGCTGGCCGTCTCTGGGATGATGAAGGACCTCACCCAAATACTTAATTCCACCCACAGAGACCATCACTGCTTCTCCTGTCAACCTGATACTGCAAACCTCTTTTCAGTTATTTGAGGGAAGAAAGGGAGTCTCTTTTGAGTGTGACTTGAACGATCGCTACGCAGCTGGGCCATCCGAGGGAAAGGTCCTGTTCACCTGAGGGCCACCTACGTCAGCCTATCAGGGAGAACAGCCAACAGCGGGCAGCCGGCAGGCTGGGCAACATTACTGGGTCCTTCCCGCTGGGACAGGCTACTGCCAGGATCCGGGGAGTCCGACATAACGATCTTAGGCCTTCTCACGTCCTGACTTAAAACAACTCAACACTTCCGCCTTTGGCATGATGTGCCAGGCTCAGGACACAAGGGCCCTGTCAAAGACCGGTGCCGCCCTGCTCAACCTTCACGTCACTGGGGCAGAGAAAACGGACCATCCGCTCCTCCGATGGGCGGCTGTGTAAAGCCTCTCCCCTCTGGCTCAGTCACTCGGCCCCAGCTTGATCACCAAGGGAGGGAGGTGGGTGTTTTGTTTTTAAAAGCCAGGGATTAGGAGTGGGTGCACAGACTGGCATGTCATGGCACCAGTTAACAGAATGGATGGAAGCACGGACATGGACCCACCTGAGATGGGCGAGAGAACCTGTCACTATCTATCTTCAATTGCAGGGCTGCCATGATTATGTAACCTAAGTATGTACAGCTTGAATGAAAAATCGACCGGTTCTCTCATCTCTAAGGCTAAGAGGTAAGAAACTACTGTGGAACCAGGAAGAAAAAGCCCCAAGCCCCCCAGCGTGACCGTCATCCCATTTCTGGTCTCAGCGAGGAAGGCTTGCAAAGCCACCCTAGGTCAGAAAACTGGGGTCCCTTGTGGCCAATTCCCAGATGATCTGCACGAAGCCATCCCAATACAAGCAAACCCGGCGTGGACCAGTCTTTCCAACAAAGCCGAGAATCTCAGGGGTGAAGAGGGGACAGCGAAGGAATCCCACGAAGGGAATCTGATCGACGTCGCCGTGAGGCAATGGGAAAGGCAACCTTTTCACCTGTGGCCCTATCTGTGATCAACAAAATGAGTTTCATGGAGTCTAAAATAAATTAATTTGCTGCCTAAGGAGGATTTGCTTTAAAGAGTTTTCTGGTTTTTGATAGAAGCTTATAAAAAGTCCAAAGCAAGAACCATGATGTCGTCATGTTAAACCAATCATTTTTTTGTTGTAAAAGACAAGGGTTTAACAGTCCAAAGTCCTAAAGGAGTCCTATTTATTATCGGCTCTTCAAAAATGGTAAAATCTGACTTAATTCTGGAGCTACTGTTCATAAAAACTGGATTTTCAGGAGCAGCTAGGTGGCGCAGTGAATAGAGCACTGGCCCTGAAGTCAGGAGGTCCTGCGTTCATATCCGACCTCAGACCAAACACTTGACCTTTACTAGCTGTATGACCCTGGGCAAGTCAGCCAACCCCAATTGCCTAAAAAGACAAACAAACAAACAAAAAACCCCCGGATTTTATGAAATAAAAACATGGACTCCATGTAAGATCAAGTTGGTGAGCACTCATTCAAGCAGGTGGACTTTTCTTTCCACGTGTAGCCCCAACTTCTAGAGAAGGTTCCTCAAGAATCCAGAATAAGGGCAGTCGTTTTCTAAGCTGCCCCCAGAACCTCTACCACCAAGGTTCTTCTGTGACGATACCTTCCCTGGGCCTCCACACCACCCGGGTTCTCAGGCTCTCATGGACCGGAGCTGTTTCACACTGGGGACACAGGTAAGGCTTTCCCTTTCAATTTACATCCTTATATTAACTTACTCCAAGCTTAGTAAGCTACAAACAGTGTGGAGGATCCTGAGCACAGCTAGCTGTCTGTACCCTGAGGGTTCAATGCCCTCCGAGAAACCCCCTTAAGACAGTCACCAGGGCAGGAGAGGGTCACTGATGGGACGGCCCAGGGTGGGGGGGTTTGTCTAACTCAGCAAATGGCTCTATTGCTCATTCCAGTACCTTTCATAATCACAAAATGCCTCATAAACTCCACACCAGAACACCTGACAGGTACTTTGAATCCTAAATACACCAGTCACCTTCTTGGACAGATCGTGACATTAAATGAAATATAAGATATTATTGCATCAATACTAAAAGTGTCTCTTTGCCTCACTTGCTTTGCATTCTTCTGGACTGACTGCTCTAGATGTACCTTCTAGATGTCCTTGACACAGTCCCCTCTCCTCGCCTGTCTCGCCTCATTGTTCTGCTCTCTGAAGGGCGCCAGGGGAGCCCCCCCCCCAGGCGTCAGAGGCCGTCGATGCCCCGACTCTTGAGGGCGCACCATGAAACTTGCAGATGGCACCCTTCTAGCCTGACTGCCTCGATGAGAAGAAAGGCTGGGCTCCAGGAGGCAGTAGCCAATGCCCCATTAGAGGCTCGCTCTACAAACACACTCCTTAGACCGGAGCTCTACATCAACTGTATTCTATCGTCCGCATGGGCTTCATTTTTAACCAAGAAGAAGTCAACAACCCCACATTATACTGGCTACAGATCACCAACTTTCAAGTTAGGTATGAATGGAATTCCACCTTACCTATGATATGAATGATAAACAGACAAAAATTACACCTAAATGGGGAAAAAAAAATGGAAAGGAACCGTCAGCATGAAAGACAATGAAATGTGCAAAATCATACAGGAGGAACACAACCCCAATTCCTCGAGATCCTGAGCTCTGCAAACACTGCGCCTCAGCAGGGCCACTCCAACACACCAGACCTGCACCCTTCTGCCACCACATTCTCACCTGGCAGAGAACACCCCTTAATGCTGAACTGCCCTGTCCCATCCCCCAGAGCTTTGCTGAGGCCACACACGGCTGTCTGGACATCCGTCCCTTAGAAGAGGAGGTGCCTGCCAAGGTCCAAAGAACCAACAGCCCCTGTCTTTCCTGGCACTGCCCAAGGCTGACTTCCTTGCCCAGACTTTGGGAGGAGGGCAGTATTTGGGAACCTGGTACTAGGTGGGGAGAGGGAGCTCTTCCAGCGGATGACCAGCTTGGGAGCAGGGGCAGCGTAACTACGGCCGGGCAGCACGAGAGAAAGAGGGAGCAAAGACCTGCAAATGGCAGCCACAACGCCAGCACCTTTACAAGCAGGAATTGGGGGGCTCTAGAAACCAAATCAAAGAGTGGGAGCGGGTGAACTAAAAATCAGTTTTGAGTCCATTCTGTAAAAATGTGCCCCAAAGCGCAAATGCCACTAGGGCGGAGGAAGCTGACGTGCAGTTCCACCGACCTCAAAGCAACGTCAGATTACTCTGGATAACGGATGCTCGTCTGCTGTTCTGTACTGCCTGGCTACCTGCTTCGTCTGCCCTGGACTCCGTCTTCCCTTTGATGGGAAGGACCATCCCTGAAATCCTCCCGGACGGTGAGCATTTAGCACATGACAGGGATTCCACAAATACGGCTCCACTGACTGCCTGGCGGCCCATTTTTAAAGATGCCTGCTCCTGGAGAACTATTTACGTGGCAAATTAAAGAAAAAAATTCCTCGACTTCCAACGAAAGCCCTTCCTTCACAAGCCTGCCGTAGCATTAATAATCCCACTTGGTAGTTTTTTTCACCTGGGGTGGGGAGGGGAGGTGGAAGGAATGATGAAGTTAAACAGACACAGCTATCCCCCCCCAAGCCAGGGAATGCTTGATGTATCAAGATTTTTGCCACGCAGGCCGCAAGTTAGTTAACTTCATGCCAGAGAATAATAAGTATTATTGATTTACAATTCAGCCAAAGAGCTGGTATTGGTTTGTTCTTTTGAAAGTGGGGTGGAGGAGGATGGGCCTTCGTTTGAAAATATACATGGTAGCCTTATGAATTCTACTGTCAGGAATTCAGTCAGATAAACGAAAATCCAAGTTTTGCCAAGATGAATAATCAATCATTTTGAAATTTCTGGTATTAAGGGTTCACTGGTTTTCATTAAACACTGAGCCCTCCTATTTTAAAACTAGGTAATTTCTAAAAATGTTATTTGCATTAAACTTTCACCAAACATCTGACTAAAGGGAGGAATAAAGCCCCAAGTCTGTACGCATTCCCTCCAAGTACCTCGTCTTTATAACTCCCTTTCTTTCCCAGACACGAGCATCCGGATCATTTGAAACAGGGCCTGGCTGGGACAGCCAAAAGGGGAGAAGATGACGCAGGCGCTCGCCTTTTAAAGGTAGCCCCTCCTCACCGGCCCGCGATGCCACCCGGCTGAGGAAGACCCAAACACCAACCCAAAGGCTGAGCTCTGCAATTCTCAGGGGGAAAAGGCCCAGCCCAGTGTGAGCCACAGTGTTTGGTTTTATTCGTGAAGACCACTAACCTTGGGATCGTTCTCTGCATCATCATCTTCCTCTCCCTCCTCTTCACCCTCCAATTCCTGGTGAACAAGAAAGACGACCAGTCAACAAGAGGACTTCCCAGCCGCAGCAGCACCGTCACCCGCTCCCAGGAAAGCCACAAGGAGAACCAATCACTCGGTTGAAAAAGAGAGCTGAGTGCACACTGGCCAACATTTCATCCAGTGCTGCCCCGCCCTGCCCCGCCCCCGCCCCCGCCCCGAGAGCCACGCCTCAGGTAGCAGCCGGACAAAACAAAGGTGGTCACAAAGGTGAAGTGGGCCCCAAAACAAACCCAAAGCATCTGCATCCCTCACCCCAACCTCCGCACTGTCACCAAACACATCTCACCTCTTCTTCCCCTTCCTCGCCTTCTTCAAACTGAAAAATGGAAAAACAGTTTTAGATTTCTAGAATGAACAACAACCTGGCCTCCAGGCCAGCTCTGGTCAGTTGTTCCCATTCTCCCACGTACCCCCGGTGGTACTTGGGCCGCTGACCCACAGCCGAGAGACAGAGGACAAAGCTGCCCACGGCTGACGGCAGCACGGAGGAGCCTGGCCTCTCCCGGCTCGAAGGGCCCTTCTGGCTACGAACAGGAAGCCAGCCGCCCGGGACAGGTGAGCCACAGGCGCCTGCTGGTCGGCTCTGGCTGGGAAAGGGGCACTAGAGCGCTGCCTGCCCCAGGGTCCGTGGGCTGGGGATGCTGGAAAAGATCTCTGCAACTACATCTCACGCGACAACACCCTTGATAAAGGAGAGGCAAACGCTGGTTTTGCTGCCGTCAAGGAGAAAGCTTTCAAGAATGAGTCAAATCTTCAGCACCCAACATATTTAAACACTGGTTCATCTCCAACTAATTTCCCACTAAGTCACTTCACTGCAGAAACCAGGGCCCTCAGAAGCCCACACTCAGCAGACCGACAGGAAAGATGGGGGCAGAGGGTAAGCCTAGGATTTCAGTCATCTTAGGAACCCCCACAGGGAAGGAAGCCTCTTCTCCCAATGCAGGGTAGAACACTAAGAGGTTAAGACGTGCCCAGGGCCACAGGCAGAACTCAAACACAGGCCTTCCACACTCAGAGGCTGCCTGACTGGGAACATACATGTGACAAACCCCTTAGCTCTGAGGAGGACATTCCTTTTCTAATATGCACTGGCTGCGTGGCAGCAAAGTTCACAGCAATGTGAACTAGCACTGTAAGAGAAGAAAAGCATGGTGGATTCAGCGTCAGGGTCTAGGATTCTGTTCCCAGAATCTCACAATTCATTGTGGGGCCTCAATGAAAAACACACACACACACACACACACACACACACACACACACACACACACTCTCTCTCTCTCTCTCTCTCTCTCTCTCACTCTCTCTCTCATGCAGAGTCTTGGACAAACCAAATGGAATCTGAAATCAAGTGACCTGTCCTTAAATAATAAAAGAACTAAGGCACCACTGTGAGGTCAACTTTTCCGTGCCTTTAATGTGCTAATGTTTTAAGGAAAGCATTAGGCCACCCCCCACCCAGCAGGGATGGGCAGGCAGGGCAAAGCCCAGACAAGAAGGCTTCCAACCCACTGAATTCTTGCCCTTTCTTTAAAGATCAATCCTAATGTCATCTCCTCCAGGAAGCCTTCTCTGATGCTTACCGAGTCGACACGCCACTCTGTTCTACACAACCCCAATGCACTTCAAACAGAACCAATGACTGCTGAAGGCCACCTCCTTTTACGTCAGCTCTCTGTCCTGTCCCATACTCCCCCCCCACCCCCCAACGAGGACCAGAAGCTCCATGAGGGTAGGCACCAGTCTTAGGTGCCCAACCCAAGAGATGTGAAACAGAAGACGGGCCCCTCCTGCTGGAAGGACAACCACCATGGGAGGACCTGGCTCCTACTGGCCTTCCTGTATGTAAGATGTGACGTTTAACAGCAGCTCGGTGTGACATGGGCGCCCAAGGAAGCTGGGTTGCAGCACCAGTCCTTCTACCTAGCTGACCTGGGGCTAGTCACTTAACCTCTGTGCCTCAGTGTCTCTGTCTGTAAAAAGGCCCTTCCAGTTCTAAGCCCTTGAATCCCAGGATGGCGTGAAGCCGCATCACACGACAGAAGGGAAGCGGGAGCAAAAAAGAGCGGGGCCAGGCAGCTGGCAAGCGGGTGGCCTAAGGACAGCTGTGAGCTGCTGCCCAAACAGCTCCTCTTAAGAACGGGAAAAGGGGAGATGCTAACTCTGGCTGGTCTTGCTCCCCTAGCCTTGGGTCTGACGGTGCCAATCTCCTGTAGGTCTTGGGCCTGGCCAAGCCGCTGGCAGTTTCTGTGTTATCAATGATTCATCCCTAGAGGATCAAAGGCTACATATCAACGACCCTAGGAATGTGTGATCTCAAGAAAGAGTGTCCTCAAACGGGACGTGACCGCTGGAGAAAGAGGCGACTTTCACCCACCCTTCCTGTTTCTCGCCAGGATACCGAGTTGACATGCCACTCTGTTCTACACGACCCCAACGTACTTCAAACAGAACCAACGTAAAGAGTGATGCCAGATGTCTGTCCAAAGGAAAGCAAAACTAGTAACACTCTCTTCAGTCCATCCACCGCTAAATCACTCTAAGTGGGAGGGAACACCTGACTGGGAGTCAGCCGTGGTTTCTGCTCCCAGTGCTTCCACGGTCTAAGGTCACAAAGAGAGTTAAGTCACTTGAACACACTCTCTGGGCCTGAGTTTACTCCTCTATACATGAGGAGGCTCCAAAACTCTGACTTGGACAGATCTCACACAGGCCCTTCCTGGCCTTAAACACTCGACTCCGGGCCTTGACGTCCCCACGCTCACAAGACACAGTAGCAGTCACTGATGAGATGTGTATACATACGTTGTCATCATCCTCTATGGCTTCCCCAGTAAAATAAAGGACTGCACGCGGAACTATCCTTTCGCGGAAGAAGTGCCCAATTTCAAAATCTGAGGCTAATGTAAATTCTGAATCTTCATCCTGTGGGAGAAAACTTCAATAGTAACTATGCATAATCTCCTGGATGAATGCAGAAAAGACCCAAACATTAACTCCAACCACCAGCTTCTTAAGAACTGAGACAAACTGGGTTTGGCCACAAGGTTCCACAGAGGAGCAGCTCCGGTAACCGGACCAACACTGGGCACGCACGTGACAGAAAACCACCGTCGTGGCCTCCAACGCTATCGAGGACCTTCGGGACATTTTCACTTTAAAGTCTTTAGTTCTTATGTTACGAAACACTGATCAAGTTCCTCCAACGCCACTTAAAAGGTCAGTCAGTGCCACCATTAAACGAGCAGCCCACAAGAGAGCGCCAGGCTCGTGATCCTGGGCCTCTGGGGCAAGGGCAGTCACCATCACTACCGTGGTGGGAAAAGTGCGGACACACAAATTCAGCACGGAGTTTGGGGTTAGTGCAAGGTACATCCTCTTCACTAGGGATCCACTATCACTCAGCACCAGTGCTTAAGAACATGGCAAAATCGAAGAAAATAAAATAGAGCAGTTTGAGAACAAATGAAGCTTTGAAATAGGACTCTTACCAGTGACTCTCCATCCCCAGATACTATAAAAAAAAAGAAGAAATCCAATTAATCTTCAAATAAATACAGAATCTCTGCCCTGTCCTGCCCCCAGCCCACTTGACTTAATGAGGAAAAAGAACATTTCACAACTCTAATCCATCTCATGATCCCCCCCCCCTCCCCCCCGGAAATTACGAAGTTTTAACACTTCTTCATGAAAGAGGGCTTCCCAATGATTGGAGACACGTCAGAGCAATCCCCGCTACATCAAAGCTAGTCTCTTTCTCCCACCCACCTAGCCCTCCCCTACCTTAACCTGAAGGAATGGGTCTGGACTTGATTTCTCCAGAAAATCATTCCCAGGGCTCACAAGGGAGCAGCAGGGCCACGCTGGCTGATACACTCACTATGGGCTCACCTGAGTAACAAGCAAGCAGGAAACATTCCCACCCAAGCCCTACGGTGACAGCAGGAATGGAGCAAACCTCTCTGGGACCCGAGTGCCCCTGCTCATCTTGGAAGGTAAGAGATCCCAGAAGACTCGGGATAACGACCCTATGATTGGATCGCAGGCACACTCTTGCACTCTCAGCCCCTGCCGCTCCTCCCTGGGCCAAATCTCAGGGTCTGAGACAAGACAAAGGCTATTGGGGGAAGGGGATCTGGGCAGCAGGAGGGGAAGGCGTCGCCTGTATGACCACTACCATCCCCAGGAACAAGCACCATGCACGGAAGAAGCACTTACGAGGGGGGCATTTCCTAGCCTAGTCTTGGATTAAGCACCTCCTACGTGCAAGGCCCAAGACCGAAACCATCTCTGCTTTTAAAGCACCTCTCTTCCCCTGGGGAGGCTCACAGCATACAAACACAAGCCATTTCAAGATGGCTTCAGAAAGAGCTCTAGAGGAGGGGGCACCGTGCACACCCAATCACACAGAGGAGCAGCTGGCAGACCACACAAAGAACACAAGATGCCCAGCTCTTCTATTTGCAGGAGCCGGCCCAAGCCGAGCCAAAGGCCTAAGAGGCTGGCAAACGCGTTGGTCACTCATTCAAATTCTCTCCTCGGGATGGTTACTCCTTCAGAGCTGGCCACCCGAGGTCCGGACAAAGCCGGACCGAGTGCCCACTTCAAAGAGGAAGCCGGGAAAGAAGGAGCTTGGTCGGAACCTGGTGAGCCCCAGCAGAGCAGGGCCCAGCTGGACCCAGGAGGGGCGGCCACGCTGGCTCCAGAGCCACCAAAATCAGCCAAAATGAACACGGGAGGAGTCTGCCGATCTACTTTGTGTTGGCATATTCAAAGACAATCAAAGGGCACCTTTTCTATTAATAATACAAGACCACCCACGTCAACGTTAAACTAAAAAAGCTCCTTCGGAAGATTTAATGGCTAGCCGAACACCACCAGATGCCCGCCTTCTCAGTGTGGAATCAGACTGAAAGCAAGTTTAACTGTTTTAAAGATGAGTTAGTCTAACTGTGCCAAACAGGCCACGTAAGGGACACAGGATACGGTACACAAATCTGCAACGTGGGTGGGCGACCTGGCCGGTGCCTACGGTGGAAAAGCTGACCTCTTCCTGAGAAAACGCAAGCACCCCACCCCCGCCACCGAGACCGTGATCGTGACCAGACCCCAACTCCGGGAGGCCTGGGGGCAGCTTCAAAACAAGGTTCTGAAGAGGGCAAGAGCGAGTCTCAGACCCGGTCCCGGCTCTGGCATCTCTCTGGGTGACCTTGGGAAGGGAAGGGGAGGATGGCAAAGACCTCAAATCGCAACGCCACAAGCGTGTTTCCTGCATCTCCATTTAAAGCCAATATTTCACAAAAGCGCCTCACGCGCATCCAGCTCGGCAGGCCGAGGCTTACCTTTGATGGGGCTAAAGAAGTTAAAGAAGGAGTCATTGGGGACTTGCTTCGTGACCGTCCTCACGGTGCCTCGGCCCTTGTGTTTCTGCTTTTTCTTGATCGTCTTCACTGTCACGTTCTTGCCCTTCTTCCACTCGATAGTGCACCTGGGAAGCAGAGCTGGGTCACAAGGCCGCGTCCCCGAGCCGCCCCCAAGCCCGAAGCCAGCCTAGGTCGCCAAGAGGAAAGGCCGCTTCCTAAACTGTCTGGGAGCAGACACGACAGAACGAGCCGGAGAACATCAGATAGAAAGCACTGAGCTGCCCAAGGGAAACCCTGCCCCTCTGCCCAGCACGGCCTGGAACTGTCCTGGAGGGGACATTATCACGGACAGGAGAGCATCATCCACTTGAGTTCTGCTCACCAAAAGGCTTGCTTTCTGCTGAAGTCAAGTGGGGGGGGCCCCCAAACCCTGTGCCTCAACAACTCTCAGTACGGCTCCGTGAGGGTAAGGGACCCGACTGCAACAGTCTTAGACAAACTCTCGGTAAGTGCTGACCTCGTCCCCGAAAGCCCTCACACGAGGATGCATGCTGTGTCTCACTAAGCAGACGATGCTTCCCCACCCTTCCTGAGAAGCTTCAGCGTTTCTATAAAAGCCCTGGGAGATGGGCAGGAAGGAGGCCCAAGGTCACCCAGTCAGACAGCAAACTTGAGTTTCAGCAGCACTACAAGACACCCCAGTTCAGCACGCTTTGTCATTTCATCGATCTAAGTTCTGTGTAAATAAAACGAGCAGGCGGGTTCGCTGGAGCGAACATTTCCTCTTATTTACTTTGTAGTAAGAGGAAAATTCAGTCGAGAAAATAGGGAGTTCTCAAAACACAGACACAAGATTAATGTTAATACTGCACATGGGACTCCTGCCCTTGTCCTATCTCCAGCTCCCTTCCACTGGCCTCTTCTCCAGAAGGCCTTTCCTGGTATCCTCTCATGGAATCAGGATGACTCGAGTTCAAATCAGGCCTCAGACACTGACTAGCTGAGCGACCCCGGGCAAATCGCCTAACCTGTGGCTACCTAAGTTTCCTCAACTGTAAAATGGGGATGACAGCACTGACCCCCCCAAGGTTATTGTAAGGATCCAATGAGATATTTGCAAAGTGCTTACCACAGTGCCAGGCACACAGTAGGTACTTAATAAATGCTTGCTTCTTTCCTTCTTCCCATCCCATAGAAGGTAAATTTCACGAGGGCATCTAGCACAGATTCTGACACACAGTAAAGGCTTAACAAATGTTTGCTGAATGGGGGGGAAAGAACAGAACTCACCCAAGAAGAGTATTGTCTTTTTCTTACCCCTCACAGTCGACTATTTCGGGACCTTCAAAGGAAAAGGGGTCTGTCGTATCTGGCTCTGATTTCATCTTATAGGTCTTTGTCAGGACAGAGTTGGTAAAGTAGTCGTTGGGCTCAAAGTGGAACTCTAAGGAGAAAGACTGGGGAGAGAAGAACACGAGAGTCACCCAGAGGTCTCAGTGGAAAGGACTTTGGTTTTTCTATCCACAGTCAAAGCCTTGCCCAAGACATCTGGCTCCTGCAGGAGGTCTGCGGAGGGGAGCCTGCCGCCACAGCACCAGGCAGGGAAGGGCTCTGTCAAAGACTGAGACCAAGGTCTTCCAAAGCCCAGGGCAGCGTCCCCTGGACTACTACCACGGCCTCCTCAGAGCCTCTCCACTGAGCGCGGGTCTCTGTGTCCACGTCATGGTCTCTATTCACACCCACTCCAGAAGCTTCAAAACTCCTTGGCTTGGCATTGAGGACCACGAGCACTCTGGGCTCCCCTTGACTAACGTCCAGCCAAACTGGCCCTGCCCTCGTTCCTCCCACCTCAGGCTCTGAGCAGGCTGCTCCCCAGTCCCCAAAATGTACTCTCCCTCCTCCACCCTCTGGGATCCCTGGTTTCCTCGGAGATTCAGCAGAAGGCTCTTCCTGGCCTCCCCCTCCCTTCCGAGGCCACCTTGCCCTTTCTCTCTATGTAGGTTTTATCTATCTCTATAAATACACGTTTGTCTTCCGTGGCAAAATGAAGCTCCATGAAGAGAGGGGCTCCTTTGCCCGTCTCTCCAGCTCACTGCCAGGCACACGGCATCAATGTCCTCAATGCCTGATAATTTCCAAGAACAAGTTTGCCCTCAGATAAGTGCTAAGAGAAGACACCTCCCCCTACTCATCTGTAGAGGAAGGATCTGGAGAGGCAGAACACTGAATAATTACATCAGATTTTTTTCAATGGCTGAATCTTTTTTTATTTTTAAGGAATTCTTCTGTTCTAAGTGATGGCTCTCTGGCAAGGGGAGGAACATAGAGAGAAATCAAGGACAGAAAAATCCACGCTGTCAGTCAAGAATACGCATGGCTGAAGCACCAGAGACACAAAGAAAGGCCAAAGACAGTGCCCTGCCCTCAAGGAGCTCACAGTCTAGTGGGCAAGACCCCAAACAAATGGCTATGGATGAACAACACAGAAACAGGATCGACGGGAGCTAAGCAACAGGTCGGGTGCACCTGAGGACTGGGGTGGTGGTAAGCGCTTCTGGGAGGTGAGATTTCTGGGAGACATGATGGAAGCTGGGGAAGGCAGGAGGCAGAGAAGAGGCACCAGGAGATGGGCGTGGGGGCAGGGACTGAAAATGCCCGAAGCAGGAGATGGGGGGGCGGGCTGTGTTCTGTAAGAAGGTGGAAGAGGTCTCAGGCGGAGGGCTGCCACCTCCTGAACCTCAGGAAGATCAAGGTGACAGCTGAGCAGAGGGTGGCCAGGGCTGGGGAGACCAGCCAGATCAAGTCTAATTTTAAACTACACCCCTGTTGGCTAAGTGACTCAAAAGCCTATCTCGTGAGGCACCAACCAAGAAATGGGCTCTGTCGGCTCCAGGCCGATGAAGTGCTTGGATGTTTTCCCATTTGGGGTTTTGGAGACAATCAAAGGAAGGGGTAGCGATGTCAGCGATCTTTCAAGCCCCCTCAGTCCCTCCAATCTTTTAGGTCTGTTGCAAAGGGAAAGCCTCTGGCCCCTTCCAGCCCATGATGCCGGCTGGGAGGACCTCAGAGGGCACTGCCACTGGTCACAGCGTTCTGGTGCCTCGCTGCCCAGGGCTGCACTAGGCCACAGTCTGCTTTTCACTGTCCCAATTTCACCCATCTTTTCTTTTCTTTGCTTAGGCAGAAAAGACATGTTTTCTGCAGGCCCGTCACAAAGAGCATGCCTAGGTCAATGCCACAGGCCACCTTGGGTTAGAAGAGTCTACTGCACCCAGTACAGGGATGAAGGGAAAGACCACCCTATCCCCTCCAGACCTTGGATTTGCCAAGAGTCACAGGGAAGCGAAGGCCAACCTTCAACTTCCCTGGCTGCACTCACGTCAAGCTGAAGGGCCTGGGGAGCGTCCGGACAAGCCTGCCTCCCTGGCCTGCACACTGGCGGGGAGAGGGGGAGCAGGGCGCCCCCCATCTGGCTCCTCCCAGTCCTGCCCAAATTCACGCTTTTCTTCCTACTGCTCCCCCTTCTTAGACAGTGAACTCCTCCTGTCTTAGCCCTCCTTCCCGGGGGAATCTCAGCCTTGTTTATAAAGCACTAGACAAGCTCAGAGCCAGAAAGACCCTCCCCCCACGACGGCCCCTCCCCACTCTGGTGAGCACTGTTAGGGGTCTGCCCTCCCTTCTCTGCCACTCACACACGAGCACAGAATTTCACACTTATCATCTCATCTGATTCTCCCCAAAGCCGTCAGAGTGACTGAGGGCAAAAGAAGTTAAAGGATCCGTCTGAGGTAAAAAAAAACAACAAACAGCATGTGGCCAGAGGGGGCCTGAAACAAGGCCGTTAGCCAGCAGAGGCGCTAGAGCTCTCTTGGACTCAAGATCCATGCGTTTGGTCCCTAACCATAAGGACTGAGCTTCTAAAAGGAAGGGAATCTGTCGCCTAGAATAGGGGAGGTGAAGACCAGCTGACTGGACAACGGGGTGGTCCAGCGTAAAGAACGGATGTGGAGGTACTGGATCTGAGTTCAGATGCTGGCTCCATCACTACTTACGTGACCGTGGGTCAGTTATTTAGGGCCTGTGTCCTGATCTGTCAAATGAAGGGGCTTGACTAGATCTCTAATGTCCTTTCTAGCATGAACTGATTAAATAAGGCGCCGATTCCAATCACAACGTCTTTCAAACATGCATCAATGCTCCAGTGTTGGCAAGTAGAGTGATCCACGGGGCCCACCGTCAGGAATGGATGCATACGCACCATCAGCGCACTGCCTAGAAGAGCTGTTTGCATATGACCAATCGAGGAGTCTCTGATGGGTGATGGCGGGGCTCTTCCTATGCTGAGTGATAGAGCAGAGACCGAGAGAGTCGGAGAGGGAAGAGGTGCACACAAGCCAGCTGGGGAGACAAGAGCGTCCTGATGGCCCCCTAGCACTGCCAACTGCCCTGCCTTTATGCAGCCCAAAAAGAGAAGAAAACATCAAGCAAATACTTTAAGAAACGCACAGAAGTTCGGAGGGAGAGAGGCACGAAGGGCACCCGTTAACACTGTTGTATACTTAAAAAAAAAAGCTGTATTAATAGATCTGTGCTTCATATACAATTCTTTCTTCTCTTTGTACATGGCAAATTCACATTTGTTACACTCAAAACCAAAAAAACACAAAAATTTTACCAGAATTGGAACAGAGCCAGTTAAGGAGAGACAACGAGAGACGCCACAGAGCGCCAGGCCTGGGGTCAGGAAGACCTGATCAAACCTGGCCTCAGACACTCATTAGCTGTGTGACCCTGGGCAAAGCCACTTCATCCTGTTTGCCTCAGTTTCCTCATCCGTAAAATGAGAAAGAAAGGGCACACCTCCAAGACTTTTGCCAAGAAAGTCACAAACGGGGTCTGAAAGAGTCAAACAAAAGACTGACAACAACTGAACAACAAGAGAGACACCCCAGGAAATAAAGTATGGGGAAAGTCAAAGGGGTCAAAAACATAACGTGGGGGGGACCCTTTCTCCTATAGACCTCGAGAAGCTGACTCTCCCCTTCCCAAACTGAATTTTAATTTGTTTCCTAATGCCTTACTTTTATATAGTCTATGGAGGGTTGATCCAGCTTGAGTTGCATTCTCAAACACCAAAACAATGAGGCTGAAAAGTAGCAAGACTTTAGCTTCAGAAGAATGGTGCCCTACAGCAAGGGCACAGCGCCACCTAGTGGTGACGAGCAGAAGCAGGGAAGGTCACAGCTCCAGCCTTGTCCAAGGCTCCTCTTTGCTTCTCCTCTCATGGCTTCCTTGGTCCTGCCAAGGTCACCCAAGGCCACGCCAAGATTAGCTCCCCTGGTGTCTTCAGTAATAATAAAACCGCCCCCCACATCTAAGACTGAATGACACACCACAGTCCGCCAGTCGGCCATCGCTGCACCGCCGGTCAGATGGGCCTGGAACCAACGAGGCGAGGCGGCAGAGAAGAAGGCATTTCCCTTTTCGCATTTTTAATCTGCAGACCCTCACGACAAACGTCCTTTGCAGATGTCTGCCCAGCCCCAACACGGTTCCTTTGCTCAAACCTGCCCATGCAGACGAAGCAGCCTGCACTGGGGGGCACTGCCTGCCTAGGTCTTACACGCTGGCGCTGGTGCTGCCGCTGACCAGGGCCTGCTACCAATCAGAGCGCTAACAACAACTCAAGCTTCCAGGACTTACCATGGGCTGTCCGGGATCTGAAAACTTGACTTTAATGTCCTGCAAGTGTTTCAAAATCGGTTCATCGTATTCCTAGTCACAAAAGAAAGAATAAATTAGTGCATGCATGCTGTAAAGAGAAAATCTGGTTCTATCACGTCTTTCAGACAGTCACAATTCCCCTCTTTTCTCTTCGAACACAGACATCTCTTACATGGTCTTTATGAGAAACTTACACAGGAAACAAATCTGGGATGCCGTAGCATTTGAATTCTGCCAAATCCGTGCCTTGACACTCGTGGCCTGCTCCAGCCCCAGGCCTCTCCATAGCTCTGAGGCTTCTTTCTCCCTCACACCCGCAGGCCTGAAATGCCCCCTGCCCCACCCCTCTGCCAGGAGGGGTCCCTTTCCTCTCTCAGCCCCTCCCAGGCACTGGGACATTCTACTGCCTGTTCAGCACACCACAGCCCTTCCCCTCCACCAACTGCAAACTCCTGAGGTGAAGTCATTGGGTGCCACATGTTGGGGAAGACCCTGGTGAACTGGAGAGCACCAAAGGACTGACTGAGAAAATAGGGATGTTTCATCTGAAGACTTGGGGACGTGATGACCGAGCTGGGCCATCATATGAAACTGCTGCCCCCAGAGGAAAGAACGAACTGGGAGCAGCGGATGGAAGGTGCAGAGAAAAAAGAGGCCTGACCTCAGGAAAATCTTCCTGGCAGTCAGAGCTGTCCCCCAGGGGACGAGAGACAGTGGGCATCCCACCTCGTTGGAGATTTCCCGGCAGAGGCTGGATGAGCCCTGCTTGGCTCTTCTGGGGGGTGGGCCTTGAGTCCCCTCTAATTCTGCAAGTCTGTGCCCGAGTGGAAGTCCGCCATCTTGGCCAATGGACCAACGCAGTCCAGAAGCTGGCCCAGGGGCCACACCTCCGAGTTTAAGGAGATCCAAAGCAAGGACAACGGCTTCCTGGCCTACATCGGGGGGAGTCCCCGGAGCTGCGTGAGCCTCCATCCAGCAGCCTGAGCGCAGCTGCTCGCACAGTATGATGACAGCTGTCACGGCAGACATTCCCCTGCCATGGAGCCTGCCCAGCTCTGGGTGGTAGGGTCAGAGTTTTTCCTGCAGCATTTGGAGCACAGAGCTCCAAAATTAATCCTGCAAGTCCAAGGTGAAACTTGATTCTCCTTACTGAAGAGCTAGCGGCAGCCGCCGTTTTGGTAACATAAAGCCAAGTCAGCCTGCAGCTAAATCTCTAACCTCTCCAGACAGAGAATAACCAGGAGGAAGCCTCCTAAAAAGTGGCTGGCACTGCCACAGCTCACGCCACAGTTCCCTGGTCACAAGCGGTGCCCAAAGGTGAGGAGAAACACCAGACGACAGCTTGAGGCCCCTTCACCAGTACCGTTGCCCCAAGTCTAGCGGAATCTAATTCCTCCCACTAAGCCATCACACTGCAACAGAAGGGCTGCTTAACCATGAGAACCAGTAAGCTCTAGAACCCAAGGCCTCTAGTAGTGCCTCAATACTGTGTCTGGGCTGAACATGATCCAGCCTCTAAGGTGAATTCGGAAAACAGCATGAGCAAAAAGATCCAGACAGCCTCCCCCAAAGCACCGCCACCACAGAACGGAGGCACGACTCCCATACGAGGGGGGAGCTGGGCCCACATGCTCCCTGCTCTCTCTATTTTCAGCCCAAAGTTGGGCGAGCCACAAGGATTTCATTACCTGGACTAACTCACTCAGCATATCAACATTTCTGAAGATTGTAAACCAGAATTCTGGGATTCCTTTGGGGTTCGGCTCATCTGCAGAAGCTTCTTTATCAGCAATCACCACTTTGCTCTTCAGGTCTCCCTAGAAGAGAGGTGATTAAAATGTAGAACTAAGTAAAAAATCGCAAGGGTTTCACTCCACAGACACAAAGTAACGCATGGGCAGTGTCCCAGAGTACTCAGGCCAGTGCTGGCCCTCTGATCCAGGCCCCTGCACCTTCGACACACATGTCAAATGCCGCCGTCGTGCTGTGTGCACGAGATGGCTCCTGCTAGGCGGGAGGGCTAGACGGGCCAAAGAAAACGGCCTCTGCCCAGAAGGATGCAACATAGGGGGAGTTCAACAGGTTCAAGTACATACATTGCAGGCACAGCCGCAACCCCCCCCCACAAACAAACCAGAGTCCTCTGGGCCCACTCTGCCTAACCAAGTATTACAAGCACATATTAGAGAAGGGAAGAGAATATGTAACAGGTACTAATGTTGAAGGGAATAGACATCCCACAGACTGTATAGATGGAATGTAGCCACATTAAGAAAAAAAGTGACCCTTTCTCCTGCCCACCACTCCCCTCTCTCTGTTGTCTCTCCCTGTTAAGACTGTAAGCTCCTTGAGGGCAGGGCCCCTCTTTGTTTTTATAACTATAATCCAAGCACACAGCACCAGTCCTGGCTTTTCTTTCATTCCTTTATGTTTGACTGCAGAGTTTGTAGGGAACTCTTAAGGGAACTGAGAAGAGACAATTTCACAAATGTGAAATTATGATAATTGACAGCCAAAATAATTTCATGCAGACTAGGATATCTCTCATATGCCCACAATCACTATTCTAAAGATTTTCCTCTCATTGTCAAAATGACTGATGATACAAATGAAAACATTAAAGGACGACCCCAGCCTCAGACTGAATGCAGTGCTCATTATTAAGTAGTTCCAGAGAGCTGCTGTTGGAACAGACTTTACTTCTTTCACAGAGGTTACGGGTGAAGTTAAGTTATTCTACAAACAATTTCTCTGGGGTTTTTGATGTTTTGTTAGAGATGATATGGGGGAAGAGGGAAGATTACTGGAAGGTAAGTGTGGTGTACAAAACAAGATGTATCAACCCAATACAAAAAAACAAGGACTGTGTTTTGAACCATAAAATCACAGAAAACACAAATGCCGCCCAGAGTTGTGAGAGCACATTCTGCCAAAGATCAAATACTGATGCTGGCTCCTAAAGCCCTCAGAAAGTCAGCACGAGCAAAACGAAAAGCTGTCCCCTCAGTGTCAATCCAGAGAGACATGGGTCAATCTGGATGAACTCTGGGATATTACTGTAGCACTGGAATGGAACCCATCATCAGAAAGTGGCTGCCAACAGGTCACGAACAGTGCAGAGTTACTGACACAATAGAGTTTTCCTCACTAACGTTGGTTAAATACACTTTTTATTTATTACCCTTTCCATCCAATAGCCTATCATTTTAGATCAACTGTCTACATTGCCTAGCAGGCCGCTGGAGAGGACTATGCCCATCTGCGTGGCCCCCTTTTTCTCCCAAACACCCCTGAGGTCTAATCTCTATCAAGTCTCCCCAAACCAGCACCACCAACTTCTAATCCCTTTTATAAAAACTCCTCCATCTTGTTTCTTTTCCCTAACTCATGGCTACTTTTCTCAGCTTTCTAACTACCTAGCAAGCACAAGCCCAGCTGGGTTCCTTTCCAGCTCCTGGGGGTTATGTGGCATTTTCTTTCTGGTTACTTTGCTTCAAGGGTTTTCGGTCTTCTAATTCTTGTGTCCGCTGCTAATTTATATATTTTGCTAACTACTCCCAGCAAGGTTTGCCTAAAAATTACTCACTCCAATAACCATGCATCTTCTTTCTATGAGGGGAAGCATTTTTTTTTGGAAACTAATAAATGAGGCCAAAAAAGGAGAAAAGATTCTACTATCAGAGCATGAATGTTGCAGGAGTCCTCACTTACAGCCAGTTTCTCCTCCTCTTCATTCTCGCTGGGCCATTCTGATTCTGCATCTGTAGGTTCAACATCACCAGTGACAAAATCCCGTCTCTGCATCAGAATGAAGACAAACAATACAGTACTTATTTTGGAGATGACACGCAATGAGTTCTTTGCCGTAAGTCCCAAAATTTTAAGACGGAAAAAAGGCATTCACTGGGCAAAAGCGTCCTACCTTATCAAAGAGAGGCTGGTAAAGGGCTGCATATTTTCGCTCCAAATCATGCACTTCCTCATAGAACTTGGCCTCAATGTGAGCACATTTCACCTGAAGCTGTTTCAAAGCATCGATGCGTCTTTTGACCGCTTTGGGTAACCTGACAACACAGAGCAGGAGAGGAAGGCTGTCACGATCCCCCAAGCATGGTCCAGCGGGCTCAGCAGACCTCCCCTCGCAGTAACACTCTCCCCTGGGCCCACACATCAATGCTGCTGGAGCTGCCACCATTTCCGCCAGCTGGAGCCCAGCTGGAAGTCTGAGAACAGCAGCCAGGAGAGGCCAAGCTCCGAAAAGTCAGTTCAGGTGGATCTTTGACCTTCTGTGCATTCCACTAAAAATTCTACAGCTTCGTTTCCATTTCATGATGGAGGAAAATAGACATTATATGATAAAAAAAGCCCAACATTTCTCCCTCTTCCCCCAAAGCCCTTCTGACCCATAAATAACTGTAAAACTTCCCTCTTTTCTACGAGCTCTCTCCTGCTACCTTAAACCAGACTGCTTTTAAGAAGTGGTCCCCAGGACTCACGTTTCAATGTAGCTTGAAGGTGTATGGGACACATTCTCAAGTCGCTCCTGGAGAGCAGCCAGCACTTGGGGATTCTGCATCACCTGGTCCGTGAGTTTTTCTATGAAAAGAATGCAGCAGTTTAAAACTCAGTTACCTGAGGTCCTGAGAGTCGTGGCCTGTGTGAAGACAATCACTACAAAACAAGCACACAAAAGGGAAATCTTAATTTTAGAAAAACACGGCCCTAAATCTGCACGAAGGAACATGCATCAAGAGGTACGCTCCAGATCGAGGCAGATGAACCAGATAGCTCCCCTTGGGCAGAAAATGACCAGCAACTGGACGAGGCACAGAGCGCGGCCCCTGAATGGACCTCCGAGGGCAGTGTGCGCAATCCCTTCCCAAGGCAGAGCCAGAGACCTTCTGTCTCTCTTGTAGCTCTTTAATCTCACACGTCCTGACCATGGAGAACACGAGAGTTCCGTGAAGTCTGGGCCAAAAAGCAGGATAAAAATATACAAGGTAACCAACTGAACACTATCTCGACTCCGCCCAGGAATGATTGCTGGGTTTGGGTCAGGGACAGCTAAAAGGGAGGGAAGTGGAGGAGAGCTGCTTCTTCAGAGATAAGCCATGTCCATCCATGCTGCCTTCTCTTTACATTGTTACTGATCTTCCCGGATATAAAGGAATGGGATAACAAAATGGAGTTGTGTTCAGCCATCATCCTAGGTCCAGCCCTGCGAGGTTTACTTAAAAGAGAGATCGCCACAGAAACCACAAAGAAGTACAAGTTAAAAGCTGGACAGCCACTTGACCAGTTAGTTAACCTCCCCACCTAATCAGGGGACACAGAGCTTGAAAAGTCGCACACAGTCAGGGCCAGCAGGTGCTTCAGATGAGCAAGGAGCTCTCCAAGCAAGGAGCCCTGGGGGTTAGGCACCTTCATTTGGGACTGAGAAGAAAAAGTGAGTAATTAAAGCGAGGCCTCACTTCCATATTACTACCAGTTACTCTATGATTCTTACTAAACTCTATACTTATGATACTGAATTTTCTATAACAGTGGATGAATAAAAACTTTTAAATGTTCTCTAAGACCGTCCACATAAAATTCCTTCAATATCTGAAACTTTCTTGATCCCCAATCCTCACACCCCTGAACATCAGCCCTTCAGTATGACCTTACCTTTGTCAGTTTTAGCAGTTTCAAAGGAATCTGAAGGAACATCTTCTGAATTACTAAAAAATATTGTAAAAATTAAAATTTAAAGAAAAGCTCCATTATAACAGGAAAAATAAAAAACCCTAACCAAAGTGGATTTTTTAAAACCATTAACACATTGCAACATAATTAACAGCTTGCTGTATGAAGTGCCTTAAGATGAGGAAGAAAGGTATGCTATTTTGTTGGAAACATACTATTTTTAAAATAGTCTTCTAACTTCCAACTTTGGTCAAAACTTCCCCAAAAAAGCAGACATTCCCCTGTCCCCTGAAGTACCCTCCAATCCCACCTAACCTGCCGTACCCTCACCATTTTACATACTACTGGTGGAGAGTCAAAGACTAGAGAAAACTACCCCCAATAGCATGAATGGCTATGTTAGAAACAAAGTAAACCTAATGGGATTTTAATTCTTCTAAAAATAGCAAAACAAGCCTTAAAATTTACAAGTTTCTCAGGGACTTGTTGGAAGAAAACAACCATGTACCACAGTGGCCAACAAAATAAGAAAAACGACCATATTAGATGTGGCAGCCAGCGACAGATCACTGCACTGACCTTCTGACAATATTTATATAGCACTTTAAGGTTTGCAAAGCACTTTGTATATATATATCTATTTCATCTGATCCTAAAAATCCTGAGCTAGGCAGTGTTATTCCCATTGGACAGAAGAGGAAACTGAGGCTCAGAGTGCTTTGTCTGGTCATACAGTTAATGAGTGCCAGAGGCAGGATTCACACACTGGCCTTCCTGATTCCCAGCCTCACCTTTTCTCTCCCCCCCATGCATTACGCCACCTGGCCCCGGACAACTCCAAAGGGCTTTCCATACACATTCCTTGGTATGTTATACAGGGCATCATTCTGGACTTGCAGAGCTTGGGAATGACTGTGGTTTGTTTTTATCTTTTACGTGTTATTCTTTGTCCTCAAACAGAATGTCTACTGCAATGGCAATTGTTCAAACAGATCAGAGACATACGGCTTAATCAGCTCTATTTAGAATTCCATCAAGAAAATCCACTTGGTCAAGACTTACCTGTTATCTGCCATCTGAAGGATTTTATCCACCTACAAGTTAAAACCAATAATTAGTTTGTTCTCAGGTGGGCGCACATGCATGTGCACACAGCGGGCTGGAGGACGCTTTCAAGTCTCTTCTACTCACTACCTCACCTCACTCCCAGTCTCACTGACAACAGAGCCCACAGGGAGCCAACGAGTTCCTGCTTTCAGCCCTTCTCTGGCTCCTCCACGAGGGAGGCCAGGCCATTTCCGTGGCTCTCTACCAGCAGGCCTGTCCTTCAGCCACGTGTGGCTTTGCCTCTCCACCACCCTGACCCCACTGCGGCTCTCTGGGACTGACGAGCAGAAACCTACTCGTACTCTCCCAGATGGCAACCATCCAAGCCCCCAGTGTCTCTTCTTCTCCAAGATAAACATGCTCAGCTTAATGCCTCATGACAGGACCCAGAGGCCCCTCCCCACGCTGGCTCCCTTTCTCGGAGGTATAGCTAACTCACTCCCCAGATCCCACCCAAACTGCCTTCTAAGACTCCCCATGCAGCCTGTGCGCAGCAGAGGCAGGACGACCCTCGCCTTGGACGTGCCTCCTAATGCGGCCTATGTTGGTATCGTCATTCTTGGGCCCATCATCTTGAGCTTTCAAGCCTGCAGTTAATGTTAGAATTCCAGTCAGAACTCCAGAACCCCCACCCCCCAGGTCTTTGTCAGACTAACTTCTACCTAGCTATGCCTGCCCCCTTTCCATCTTATGCTTAAGAAGCTTGGGGTTTTTTTTTAACCGAAAAGTAAGACATTCCATTTATTGCCATTATATTTGGTCTTACTCGATTCAGCCCAATGTTCTAGCTTGCCAAGATCTTTTTGGATTTTGACAGTTATCCAGTGTGTTAGCTGTTCCTCCCAGCTTTGCATCATTTGCAAATCTGATAAGCATGTCATTTATTCCTTTATTCGTGTCACTGATAAAAATGTTACAAAGTACAAATCCCTGAGAAAACCCACTGAATACTCCCCTCTAAGTTGGCATCAAACCATAACTCTTTGGGTAGAGCCTGCAAAAAGCTGCACGTCCCCCTCCCAACGGACAATCGGCTAGGCCACATAGCTCCAATCTACCCAAAAGATTAGGAGGCACTTTGTCGAATGCCTTTGCTAGCTCTAGATGACTGTATCTACACAAGCCTCCTGATCGACCAGTCAGGGATCTCTGTGAAAAAGAAACAAACAAAGGAAGCCAGAAAAGCGAGCTGGAGCCAGATCAAGGAAGCTGAAGTTTATTTCTTGAGTTATTTAATAGGAGGTTTTTCAGCCAAGTCTAACCCCTGAATCACTGCTATCTCTGAGGGGGAAATGAACTTTGCAGCTAACATGGATTTAAGTTACAATCTGCATTTGTTTTCTATTTCAATTCAATCAAATAGCTCCCATCTCATAGGCACTTGCTGGTTTACCATGTATCTTTGGGAAGGGTTTCAGAGGTACCTGAGAACATTTGTATACATCGACACAGAGGGGAGTGAGAAGAACCAGAACCATTCACACACCATGGTAAAGACTCAAGAACTCTTACGGAAGCAATGAGAGACCACTCGCCTCCTACGGAAGCGGTCAGGGGCTGGGGCAGAAGGGACACAAACATCTTGGATATGGCCAATAGGGGAATTTGTTTTGCTCAGCTAGCCGTGTTTGTTACAGGGCTTGTGTTTTTCCTTTTTTCTCCCCCAACCCTATAAACGGGGTTTATAGGAGGGAGATAACATGTTTTAAGCTAATTGGAAAAAAATAATAAAATTAAAAATGTCTGACTCTCTTATGCACATTAGCTCATTCAATACTCAGAGCTCATGAGGTAGGACAGGCTGAGCACTCTCCTCGTTTCACGGGCTCAGACATGGAGTAACTTAGGCCAGGCCTCCCAGCAAATTCCCAAACCTAGAGTTCTCGGTCACTCTGTTCCCGGAGGCCTGCTCTATCCAGCACCTCCTCATGCTCAAAGGGCAGCCCATCTCCTGGGAGGGGAATCCTGCTCTTAAAACTGGGAAGCTCACCCTAAATCTCTTTAACAACAAAGAGGCAGAATTCAAAATTATTTCCAAAAATCATGTGGGGGAAAAAATTAATTATGCAGCTAAGAGGAGAAAAAAGAAACCTTTCGTGGGGCTGGCTTAGATGAAACTCTTCTTCCTCTACTCAAGGCAAAAAAGGCCCCTGGAGCCAGCAGCTCAGGAACCAGGCCAAGGTGGACCCTAATGTAGGAGGAACTCATTGCCATCTGGGCAACTGCCTCCTTTTCATGTCAGCAACTGTGTTTCAACAATTATGGCAAAAATACTGAGAGCTTCAACATTAAATCTGTGAGGCGTTAAAGAACCTGGTGCCCAAGGCTCATCCATGTGCAGTTGAAGCAAACCCCTGAAGCCGCTGAACCCTTTCACCATCTAGTTAAAGGAGAAACCGAGGATTTGCCTCTTTGGTATGGGTTCTTCACGTGTTCCGTTTTGTGGCCTTCTCCGCAGTCTGACTCAGGAGTTGAGAGCCCTTCTCAAAAGATGCTTCTAAAATGAAGGAAGGGGCAGCGAGGTGGTGCAGTGGATAGAGCACCAGCCCTGGATTCAGGGGGACTCGAGTTCAAATCCGGCCTCAGACCAGACCCTTGGCACTTACTAGCTGTGTGACCCTGGGCAAGTCACTTAACCCCCATTGCCTCACTTAATAGCTACATGATTTTAAACTGAAGGAAATGCTCAATTCCGGTAAGAGGTTAGTGAAAATAAAGCCGTGATTTTTTTCTTGAGTTCACCCTGAACTCTACTCACAGACAGCAGCACCCATGAATCCCAGGTTAAGAAGCCCTGCACTAAGGCATTCCCCCCAAACTGAGAAATAGCACTGACGCACCAGCATAAGTGTTCTGCTCTCCCTGGGAGCCGTTCCATGAACTTGCCCAACAGTTTGAGCACTCTCTCCAGCCTGCAAACATGCCTGTGGCCTGCCTGCTGTGGAAACGCCACGCCTACGGAGCACACGGATGGCCTATGTCAACGAGAACATCATCCATCATTGCCAAAATAGACATTTGTGTAATTAATAAGCACTACAGTGGCCTGGCTGATTTCACAGGATACCATAATATCCTACAGGGGTCGCCTTGGTTGACTCAGTCCCCCTTAGAAATGAAGAAATGGGGGCAGCTAGATGGCGCAGTGGATAGAGCACCGGCCCTGGACTCAGGGGGACCCGAGTTCAAATCCGGTCTCAGACACATAACACTTACTAGCTGTGTGACCCTGGGCAAGTCACTTAACCCCATCACCTAGCCAAAAAAAAAAAAGGAATTAAGAAATGGAAAGTCTAAGAGACTAACAAGTGTCAACATTTGGCCAAACACGGACAAGAGTATTCTTTTTCGTTAACAACCTGAATTCATCCTTGCTGCCTCTAAAATTGCCAAACTACTAACTATTCATAAATGTACATCAATTGCTCCAGCAGAATTAAATTTAAGCCTCCAAAAAAGAAAAGAGTCATTTAGGTAACTCCTCAGCATCTGAAATATATTTATATGCCCAGGGTCTATTATTTCAGTGTATGGGGCAAATCATTTCACCTATTAAATGAACGTATTACTTTTATTTATATATACACCACTTTAAGCACGTTAAGTTCGTAAACTGACATAACTCATCACTTTCAGGGGGGAAAAAACATCCACAAAGGATATTAACTCTAACAAAAAAAATTCACAAGCTGACTTTCAATCTCAAATTTAACCTGGATTCCATTCTCTCTCTGCAGATGACCGTCACATGTATTGCTGATCCAGCCCTAAACTCTCCCCTCACTCAGTCTCACATCTCCAGCTGGATGTCCCCCAGACCAAGACTTTAAACTCCATGGTCCCAGACTAAGCTCATTGTATCTTTCCTCCCCAAAGGCTTTCCTCTTTCCTATTGCTGTCCAAGGACGCTCCCATTCTCCCAGTCACCCAAGCTGGAAAACTTGGTGGAATGCTCAGCTCCTCCCACTCCCACTCCCACCCCCATCCAATCTGGGGTCAAGTCCTGCTCACTGTCCTCTCACACTCACTGTACAAGGGGGCACCTGGCACCTCACCTCTCACCCAGACTACTCAAGTAGCCTCCTGGGGGTCTCCCTGCCACCCTCCACTCCTGTCAGATCATCTTCCTCAAGCTCAGGGGGGCCCATCTTACCTCCAATGGCTTCCTATCACCTCTGTTTGGCTTTCAAAGTCCTTCCAGCCTTTCCTGTCTTTTTACACCTTCCCCCTTCCCCCATGAAGTCTGCAGTCTGGTAACATGGGCCTCCTTACTGGCCTCCCCAAGACACTTCATCTCTCAACTCCAGCATTTTCAATCACTGTCTCCTGTGCCCAGAATTCTCTCCCTCCTCATCTCCATCAAGGAGAAGGGATTCTATACAACTAAAATATTAAAATGAAAACTGTTGCCTATCTCATTCTGGCATTAACAAAGTCTGAACCCGAAACATCTGCCGCAAACGAGGCTAATACTTTAAACAGCCAGTGTTATCCATGTGTAACTTGTACAAAAGTGTGTTCCTCCAAGGCAGCAGAAGTTGCTAGAGATTTACGGTGGTGAAATTTTGCTTCTAACATGTATTTACAAGACCTGACATCTGCCATTAGGCAACAGGAAAGGAAGTTCTCTCCACAAACCTACTGGAAGCCAGTCCTGTCCTTCGGAAACAAAGTCAAATGTTAAAGGCACAACTGTTCTTCACACAGTTAACTACCCCTGAACCTTCCCTGACTTATTCCTTTGTCTCTCCAAAGAAGGTCAGTATGGCAGCCAAAATGTGGCCGCCGGCGCTGGCCTCCCCCGCCCTGCTCCCAGGCCTTCCTCACCTCCCCTCGGCCCTGCTGGTCTCTCGGCCCCACCCCTGGCCATTCTCCATAAAACTGCCAGAGTGATTGGCATCAGGGTGACTGTCACCACCCCTCCAGCCAATAAAACCTAGCAGCTCCCTATCCCCGCTAAGATCCCACACAAAACCCTGATTGTATGCAAAGACCTTCAGAACCCTGCTCTCACTGATCTTTAATCTATCACTCCTTTTCAGTGCGGTCCAACTGGTCTTCTTGACGGTCCCCCCACATCACAACCCATCTTCCGTCTTCCATCTTCCAACTCCAACTCCGTGCCATGCCTTCTCTCCCTCCTGACCTCCAGTCTCCTTTAGAGATGAGCTCAGACGTCACCTCCTGCAGGGCTTTTCAGACTCCCTCAGCTGCTAGAGCTTCCCCTCTCCCTCAAAAAAATTCTTTTGGATTTATTTGGTATTTAAGGGTAGTGAAGTCCAATGGTTAGAGCAAACCTAGGGTTAAATGACTTGACCAGGGTCACATAGCTAGTAAGAATCTGCGGCCAGATTTGAACTCAGGTCTTCCTGACTCCAGGCCCAACATTATCCACCACTTAAATACTTCTAAAGACTATTGAAGTTTGGGTCTGTCCTTATAGGATGGCTGACCAATCCTTAGTAATTAATTACAAGTCAAATCCTATCATGACAAAAATAACATAACAAAAAGATCTTCCAAATCCACCTGATCACAAGCAAGATTTAAGGTAATGAAATCCAAGTATAACAAAATAAATTCGGCATGTTCTGCAGTCAATTGATCCTTTTAAAACCAATAAGGTAATGACAGAGAATGTTACCTTAATTCAAGAAAGAACATCTCTGAGAAGTTTTTGGTGTAACAGGAGCAAGGAAAAGCCGTGGAACCAAAACTAAACGATTCTCTATATAAAATATATTCTGGTTACCTCCCAGTCAAGGCAACCTTTTAATTCTTCTCTCACCTCCCTTTTCATGGTTCACCACCAGGTAACTTTGTAATACTTTGCAATATTTCTCTTACTCCACAAACAAAATATCTGCCTTCCCCACACCCCCCAAGGCATATTCTCAGTCCTCCCTTCTGATTCCTCACACCAACTCACGGTGATCCACCCCAGATCACACTATGGAAAGCCCCGTGTCAAACAAAAGTGTATTTCTGACAGCCTGAGCGAGCTTCCTGCCTCCAGGCTCCCCTGTGCTAAGCCACCCTACACCCAGCGGCTAACGTGACCTTCCCAAAGGCCTAGTTCCTTCCTCTATCCCAGAGGGTCCGATGGCTGCCTAGGGAATCTAGGATCAAACAGAAGCTGCTCTCTTTGTCTTTAAAGCTACCGGCAAATGTGCCCAAAGGCAGGCTTTTTTCCGATGTGGCTGGCCCCCCTGTGTGCCAGGCATTAATTAAGCTGGGAATTGAAGCTGCCAAGGCAAAAATGAAACATTCCCTGCTCTCAAGGAGTTCTTAGAGCAAGAAGTCCATTCTATTAGAGGCCACCAAGGGGCATCACAGGGTACAGAGTACGGGCTGGAGTCAGGAAGACCCAAGTTCAAATTCAGTCTCAGAAACTTGACTAGCTGTGTGACCCTGAAGAATCACTTCACCTCAGTTTCCTTGGCTGTAAAATGGGGACAATCATAGCACCTCCCTCTATGGGTTGTTGTGGGGTCCCAATGTTTGTAAAGCACTTAGTAGCCCAGTGCCCAGCACGCAGTAGGCATTCTATCAATGCTTATTCCTCGAAGCAATCCGAAGTTTAAGTAAAGATCTAATTTTAAATATCTTAGGGTTTGGATATAGACTATATATCACCTCCCGAATTAAAATAGTAGACCCTTGAGGTCAGGGGCTGATTCTTCCTGTTCTCTATATCCTTACTCTTAGCACAGTCCCTGGCACACGAATGTTTGTTGACTGACACTGCCTGGCCCAGAATTCTATAAGTACACGACATCCATGAAGTCGGAAGATGTGAAAGCCCAAAGCAAGAGAGCAGCTAAGTGGGCTTCAGGCCTGGCATGATACCTCTCCCACCCCACACGGGGCCTCACAGGGCCCAGAGAGGCAGAGTGGCCTGCTGGTTTTGAGTTCCACCTCAAGACACACAAACCTATGTGACCTTGGGCATGTCAGTTAAGCAAAGACCGAAGATCAGGTGCCAGCCTGCACTGGGAGACAGAGGAGCCTCATGCCCATAAAAGTGCCAGTTCGGTCCCCAGTCCCTCCAAGCTGTCACGTCCAAGTGGCCCCGAGGAACACGGGGAAATCCATCTGAAAACCCAGGCACGAAGGACGCGACACGGCAACATTTCACACTTCGACAACCAGGAGCTTTCCCTTCCTTGGGCTGGGGGCGCCCCACGCGAGACGGTGGGAAGCTTCCGGCCTGGGAAAAACTCTTCTCTGGAGCCTCGGAAGAGCTTCTCAGCCCTCGGCTCGCAAACCCATTTCTCGGAATGTTTGAATCGGCATCAAATAAAATACACAGGGTCACACCGGGCACAAACTGAAACAATCGTCTCCACATAAAACCCCACGTTCCCGGGCAGTCCAGCCCGCCTTGGCTCGGGCGAGGCGGAGGCCCGCACACCGAACGCAAACCGGGCCGGCGGCGAACCCCGAGAGCCGAGGGACAAGCGGCGGCCAAGGGCGCTCACGGAGGCGGCCGCCCTCCCGGGCCGGGCCGGGCGCCAAGGCGCCTCCCCTACCCAGCCACGCCAACGAGCAGGAAGGCGGGCGCGGACGATGCCGCCGGGCCGGCCCGGGCACACCGGCGCAGGCCGCTCCGCCTCCGTTACGGGACCCCGGAGCCCCAGCGCGGGGAGGCCCCCGCGGGAGGCCGCGCTGTCCCCCCCGAAGTGCTCCGAGACCGGGGCGCCCCCCCCGCCGCCCCCCGAGAAGTTTGACGGGGAAGAGCAAACAGACGGGGGGTGGGGTCGGGGCGCGGAGGAGGCGCGGGAGGACCCCGGGCCCCCAGGCCGCCCCCTCCGCCCCTCGCTCGTCCAGGCCCCGGGCCCCGCGCGGCGAAGGCCGGCTGACCAGACCGGCCGGGAAGAGGAGCCCGACGCCGCGGCCCGGGCCGGCCCCTCCCGCCCCGCCTCTCCTCTCCGCGCTCCCCCACCCACCTCGGGCTCGGGCTCGGGCTCGGGCTCGGGCTCGGGCTCGGGCTCCGGCTGCGGCTCCGGCTGCGGCTCCGGCGGCCTCGGCTCTCCCTCCTTAACGCTCCCTCTCTCGGGCTGCTGCGCCGCCGCGGCCGCCAACAACGCCGCCTCCCATTGGCCGGCGCCCCGCACGCGCTCTCCGCTCACCTCCCGCCAGCAAGAAGCGCCGCCATTGGACGCCGAGCGCCAGGGCGGACCCGCAGGAGAGCGGCGACCAATCCGAGCCCGGACAAAGGTGACGAGGAGAAGGAAGAGGAGGCCGAGGCCGAGGCCGAAGAGCGGTCGCTCCCCCACCCTCACCCTCCGCCGTGGCCCCACGCGGTCGCGCCGTCTTGCGCCTGCGCGGCGCTCCCCTTCGTATGCAAATGACGAGAGGGTCCCGCCAGGGCTCGCGCCCCTGCGCCTTCCTCCCGCCTCTTTAAAGGGGCCGAGGCGGGAAGCCTGGAGCACGTGGA